TTATGAAAAGCAGACTGCTACGCAAGGATAGGTGGGAGAACCTTCATGACAGTGAATGTTTAGTGTAAGGTCTAGAATCAGCTTGGCAGAGGGGATAGTGGGAGGGCCAGTGTGCCTGAAGCATAGAGAACGTGGGGAACAGGGATGTGAAATGAAATCTGAATGGTGGAGAGGGAAGGTGATGTTGGGTTTTTTCTCCAGTAAGAGATTTATATTTTATTCTCATTTTAATGAATAGGTAAATTCCAGAATTTTAAGCAAGGGACAGGGCCAGTGGCATAATATGATTTGATTTACATTTTATAACAATCATTCTGGTTCCTATGAGGAGGAAGGGCACATGACTAAGCCACTGAGCATTTTGCCCTAAGGGTGGATTTCTTTTCAAGATTTGTCTGTTAAGGTTCATACCATTGTAACTAGTTAACACCAGGTTTGTTAGATATATAGATCAATGTACAGAATTGTCCTAAAAAGACTTAAAAATATATCTGTTCCTTTATGTGATCTCTGTTTCCACAGAAGTGTCTTAGGCTCAATGGGAGGCCAGGTGGTTGGATTCTAATCCCCCATTTGATCTTTTGTATACATCTCCTTTATTCCCCTCCTTTTTTCGTTCCAGGTTTTTGTTTATAGACCAGCTACACTTGCTTTCTGTTTTCATGGGGAAATGATTTTTCTTATAGCCTAACAGTTTGTTTCTTGCGTTTTAACAATTAAATGTACTTTTAACATTAGTGGGATGAGAAGCATTTCAAAATAATCCCAAAATCTAAACCTCAGCATACGCAATTGAAATATGTAACAGAAGAGAACAGTGGGAGAAAGTCCAGGAGATTTAATTGTCAGTCCTCCACCTTGACAACTTTTCACTTCAACATCCTTCACTGCCAAGGTTACCGTTTCTCAATTTTACTTGTGCTCCTTGCAAGCTGATGCTGCTTGGAAGCGAATTCAAGGTTTCCTCTTCTATGTGTATTTTCCTTCCATTTCCAGCTTCTTTTCACTGTTATTGCTGTTGCAAAATTCACTTAAATTTTACCATTTTCACAAATGAATGTGACAGTTCTAAACTGTGTTGGAGCCCAGGACCGCATTCATTATTTCTCTGGTGGGAAATTTTATACTGTGACCTGGTGGTTAGCAAATAGAGAAAGAAGAGAATCTCCCGCCTTCTGTGCTGTCATGCATTGTAAAGAAGAAATGCACATTCAGCTTTTTCCTTTTTAAGTGTTTTTCTTTGGTATTGCCCCTTTGTCAAAAATCCTTGATCACTTTATTATGTTTCACTTTGTTCAGACTTGATTGTTATTTGAAAATCAGAATAAAACACATTCAAGATTGGATTTCATTTTTTTCTTTTCCTTCTCAGTTTGCTGTGTCTTGTTGCAAGCCCCCGACTCTTTTTCCACTTCCTATTTGTTTTCTAAAGAGATGACACATATTTCCTCCTCCTCGTGTTGACCAGTATGCAATATATTTGCTGTAAGGCACCACCAACATTCAATAAGTACTTGTTTTCCAGCCATTAAGCTGGACTTTGAATGAGTCCTACAGATTCACAAATGTATGGGGAACAGTTTCTGTCTTTAGGAATCTTATATGAGAATAATGGTTGACTATAAGTTGGTGGATTATAATATGGTATGGCAAGTGGCTGTTGTGCAGAATGAAGGGCACTCAACATGATCTTGAACAAATCCTATAGGAGGAATTCCAGCCTGCCCCATGACTAGTGAGTAGAAGTTACCCATTTTGAAGAGTGGGGGTTTGAGGGAATAGCTATCATGTTTCAGGTGACATGGAGGTAAGATTTAGTGGAAGCCATTGGAGAAGTTAGGGTTAAAAATAGACTATAAGTGTGTGTAGAAAGAGAGATGGGACAAAATGACATAAAATGAGATTAGAGACATAAAGAAAGTATCTCAAAGCTTTAAAAAAAAATTCTGCTGTAGGATTTTTATACCCTGCTAAGAATGATGGCCTTCAGTTCAGAACAGAGAAGAAAAGCCATGTTAAGGTTTTAAGCAAGGATGATTTATGCTCATAGAGATATTTGGCTATAGCATAGAGAATGAATTACATTCAGTTAACAATATTTATCAGGCACCTACTAAACACTGCAAATGTAGTTGTGAAAAAGACAGACATAGGAGGGTAATTTGATGTCAGATGTCCAGTTAGGATGCTGTGGCCAGTGAGAAAGTTTGGTGGTCTGAATTGCAGTGTTGCAGTAGTAATAGGTATAAAAATATACATTTAAGAGATTCTCTGGTGATAGTATTGGCTGGAACATAGTAATTAACTGGATAGGAGTGGCGGTATTATGAAAAGGAGAAAAGGCTGGTTCTTCCAGTCTTCCAAATGTTGACCTGCATTCTCCTTTCTTTTTTAATTTGACAGCCTGGCAACTTTGTGGGTGATTCCATTTCCATATGTCTAGTTATCAGTTTGACCAGCTGTCGGTTCATCCTATTGGGTGGGTACACAATGGTATGGAAAAATGATGGGTCATTGCCCTTGTAGTAGAGGCCATGTGCTAAGGAGAAGCTCTTATCAAGAATTATGCTAAGCAGCTCTTCCTGTCAGATGAGTTTTGCTGTTCATTCTGTTATAGGATATGCAGTACAATAAGGTTGCGGGGATTAGATGCAGAGGGGAGTCAGGATGGTTGAAAAAAATGTAGAAGGAAAGAGAATACTCCTAAAACTAATACTAAGAGTGCTGAGAGAGGAAACAAAGGCAATAGAATGGAAGATTTAAAATGACATTTGATTTACAGAGAATAGGTTCCAAACTAGATTATTGTTATAGCTCAATATTTCTCTAAGAGGCTTCCTGAGGACACTAGTGTGCTGTGTTACATTGTGGAGGAGGTTCCTGGAAAATGCTTCTAAAAAAGCGTATTTGGCAATATGCCTCTTGTTAAAAGAATCTGGTTAAATCGGTTGAACTCAGGATGTTACAAGTATATTTCCTCCCTTATTTTTCACTAATACTTTAATAACGATCTGATGCCTAACAGAATGAATTTAAGAAAATGCTAGTCTGACTGAGTAATGATTATAGTAACAGCATTTATTGAGCATTTATTATTTGCTATGCATAGTATTAAACCTTTTACAGAGACTATTTCATTTAATCTTCATACCAACAACACTGTTGGGTAGATATTATTGTCTTCATCTTACTGACAGTGAAATAATCTGAATTATTAAGTAATTCGTTCAAAGTCATATAGTCAGCAGGAAGCCTGGTTTTAAACCCAGTCTAATCTGAAAGCTCAAATACCTATCATCTTTTACATTTTCTTTGTTATGAGGCTAAGGTCCACAGAGAGGTTACAGCTCTGGGTGCTACTGAAACTCCAATCATCTCATGAATGGGACTAGCCTCCAAAACACTAAAAGATCAAACATATACAAATTACTCAATATTCTCGACTATCACAGCCATTGAATCCTTAGTACCTGCTTGACAGTGGACCAGGAATTTCACATACATTATCCCATGTTACAGTAGAAGAAACTGCAGCAGGAGATCCAAACAAAGGAAAGTCAGGTAAAGGCCACATAATTAGAAGCCAGTAGAGTCTGGACTCAAACCCCGGCATTCTGACTTAAAAGTTCATGTTTTTTATTTACATAATATTGCCTTCTAAACATTCGAATTAATCCCTACAACCTCCCCAAGCTAAGACCTGTTAACATACTTCTATATTAAAATACATAATATATAATTTATTTATTCATGCATTTAGTCATACATGAAAAATGTCAAGGACCCCTCTTTGAAAATGTATAACTGCCCTTTCTACCTTTGAGTCACATTTTTGGAGATAGAATGTTCTGGAGGTAAAAATGTACAAACATGGGTAACATAGAAAACACAAGAGGAAAAGGAATCAGGAAGTGACCACAGAAAATTCCTTTAAAAGTAAGACAGGCAAGAATCTGCAGGTCAGTCACAATGGAGTTCAGTATAGTATCTGAATTGGAAAGGCACAGGGTGACAGACATATTTTATGTCCCTTATAAACAAATGGAGATGGACTTAATTTCATATCAGTTTTGCTTATCCCTTAGTGATTAATGTAAGAATTTTAGAATTAGATGATTCTGGGTTTCTATTTTTATTCTGTCATTACATGTGGCCCAGGCAAATTTCCAAATTTCCTCATCTACAAAATGGGGATGGATATACCTACAGGCCAAATTTGTTCTTCAGAACAAATGAAAGAATGTTGTAGAAAGTGCTGGAGAAAGTAAGTTCTGAACTTTTACTATAAGTAGCTATTACTTTTTTAATAACAGTTTTTGCTTTCCTTACTTTTATGAATTCAACATGAAAAGGTTGATTTGGTATTTTTTTATTCTGCTTTTTCATTTTTCTCTTACTTCTGAAAATGTACACCAAGGTGGAATCTCACAATATTGTGTCACCTGTAGCAAAGTTGTGCACATTAGGAGGATGAGGTTACTTTGCAGTAAGGAATGTAGATAGCCAGGTGATTTTTAAAAAGCACATTAATAGGTTTGAAGTGACCATATTCTGTGGGGGAATTCATCTAAGCAATTACATCTAAACTCGTACACTGTCCATTTGACTTGGCAATTGTTAGGAAAAAAGTAAAATAATAAATCATTAATTTAAAGTTTATTCAAATGATCATGATTTGGATTTTGTTAATAAATTAAATCTATGTTTATATGGAAAGAAATACGGTAATATTTCCAGACCGATTTAAGATATGGTTAAGTGGATGAACACTGACTGAGACAGAGCTGTGCTTATTTCTTGCATCATATCAACGTACTTTGAAAAACCTTTATTTTCTCTGATCATCATTTGGATACAGTGAACAGCTTTTTCAATACAAGAAATACAGTTTTCAGGAGTTGAAGGGGTTAAAGGATAGTAGAAAGCTTGAAATGTAGCACAATTATAATGGAAAAGCTATGAATTTACAAACTTAGGATTTTTTTTTTTTTAATTTCCAGGATGAGTAAGAGATACTTACAGAAAGCAACAAAAGGAAAACTGCTAATAATAATATTTATTGTAACCTTGTGGGGGAAAGTTGTATCCAGTGCAAACCATCATAAAGGTAAGCTTTTCTGTTTTTTTTTTTTTTCTCAATTCTTTGTGGATGATGACTACCCTTAACACAGACTGTTATGTTTTGTGTCCACTGTCTGTTAAATTTTAGTAGCTATAGATTCACCCCTGGCCATTTTCTTTAAGTAATAATGCAGTTATCTTTAAGGTAGCTTTGATAGGGAAACAAAATATTTTCAGGATTACTGCCATTTCTGCAGATAGTGTTCAAAGAATATGGAAGTAGACGTCTGTCTTTCCTTCCCTTTTTAGATAGTGATATTAAAATGCTGATTTGGCATGTAATAAAGATAAGTTTCAGATTGCACTCATCCTGGTAAAGAAAGTATCTGTAATGGTATGTATCTTAATAATATGTCTAAATGTAAATTTTCTTTCAATGCTTTTTGTGGGCTGTGTTTCTTTACATCAGAGTACGACTTTGACCACAATTTGGACACTGCCCCTAGTATTATAATTCAGCAGGCTCAATTCTGCCACTCAACAGAGTGAGAATATTTGCTCTATACATATGTGTTAAGCTTGACAGCTCACAATTATATTCTTTCTGCCTTCTTTCTTGGCCATATGACTCAATATAATAAATAACTACTTTTCCATATGAATTAAATGGGGCTATTTCTGAACTGTCCCTATCATAATCAAATATTCATGAGAAATCAATTTAGATTTTTCTGTAACATGTGATCTTATAATTTAGTTGTCTTCCCACTATCAAGTCTAGAGACTAACAATTTTGTTTCTCATTCTATTTTTGGGTGAAGGGGGAATTAAGACTGCTTTGAATTCTGTAACACTTGAATTAGTTACACATGTCCATTTAATTAGCATTACATGGAACATTAACACCAGGGAGAGAAAATACGTGGTGTGTGGGACTGAGGCTTATAAAACTAATCTCTTCCCCCTGTACTTAAAATCAAGAAAAGACATCTTGCAAAATAAAATTTTATGAAGGGTTTCTTCATATTTTGTTATCCTGTTTTCTACCCGCAGTGTATTTTCATTTGTGTGAACATATATGCATATATTTTTCTTTTTCTTTAATACAGCATATTGATCCACAAATCAGACTTTAAGTTCTCTTTAATATTTTTATCAGTGTAAAATTAAAAAGATGTTGAGGAGGACATTCCCTGTGATCTCAAATTGGCAAAAACAAACCAGACCAAAGGTCAAAGTAGTATTAAATACACATCTTTTAAAAGAGCTACAATCCTTTAGGGCCAAACCCTGCCTTGGACTTAACAAGAAAACATGCCCCATCCTCATTTTTCTGATGGTCCTCTTAGTGGCCCTTCCCAGCTTATGAAAGAAGAATTGGGAGGAGTGGGGAAATCATAGGAATTGTGGGCATCAGGCTGGCACAGCAAGTGTTCATGATGAAGATACTTTCTCATGTCCAAAGCCAAATGATGGGGTCTCTTAGAGGATCCCTTATAAAGACTGTTCACAATATATATTGCATATCATTGTTAAAGCTACTTTAAGACATTTGAATTGTGTTATGTTCTATGCTAACTCTGTAACTAAGATCTTTTCTTACTTCTTGCCAAGAAACTAGCCCTTGGACGTAAGAAATTACATAGCATGTTAGAAAACAAATTGCCAGACCTGGTACATTACAGAAGATAGAATTTTCTGTTGTTTTGCTTTTACATTTCCATGCTTCCTGTGATAATTTGGATGAAGATTTTATGAAAATTTTCTTTCTTCTGTCTTTCTTCCTTTTGTTCTTTTTTCTTTCTTTTTCTATCTTCTGTACAAAATATCCTTTTTGTTTTGAGCTATTTTACACATAAAATAATAAGTGTTGTGTATCTGTAAGTTGTGGGGAATATTTATAAAATGATTATTAGTGTGCTTACCATCCAAGAAAGGCAGGGCTGCTACCTCCCTAGGCACAAAGCCCAGACTTTGGAGACCCCATGGTGTATCTGGCCTGTGGAAGGATATAGTTAAATTCTAAATGTTTAAGGTAAGAATCTAGAATCTCAACAGAGCGAAATATTTTTCTTTCCTTTCAGGAGGGGAAGGGGAATGGTTGTCTCTCTCCTGTATATAAATGAAAAGAATCCTTTGTTCTCTGTCAGTCATCTATAGAAAGTTTGGCTACTAATGTATGACATTTGTCTTGGCTTTCAGCAGGGTTAAGGCTTAGGGCAAGGCAGGCCAGTTCACTTTCTATTTATTGTGAGTTAATTAGTAAGAAATCAGTTTCTGATCCAGAACACCTTGGTGAGCATTCAAGATAAAAGTAATAAGATGAATATTAGAAATTCAACAGCACTAAAGGGCATTAAAGATGCAACTCATTTAATCTCATAACCATCTATGTGGTAGATATTATTTTAAAAACCATTCTTAGAGATCAGAAATCATGACAAAGATAAGTTAAGCAATTTGTCCCAGGTTGCCCAGTTAGGAGCTGGGATTCCAATCTAGGCAGTCTTGCTCCAAATAACCATGAAATATATTTACTAGTGAATTGCTTTTTACTTACACCATTTGGGATTTATTTGATTTCCCAAGTCTCTGGATTGGTGTCTCTCATGAACTCTGAAAAATTATAGGCACCATCTCTTGAAATATAGTTTCTTCATCCACCACTGTGTCTACTAAACTAGAATCCTGGCTAGGTGTTAGGTATATGTCAGATTTTTCACTCTTTTCTCTACGTATTTCAACCTTTATTTTATATATACTTTTTTTTTTTTTACCTCCAAGTCTCTCTGTGCTTTATTCTATTCTGGGATATTTATTCACATTTTTATTCTACCACACTAATTCTGTGTTCCCTTGGGTCTAATCTACTATTTAAATCACATATTAAATTTTTAATTTTATTTATTATAATTACCAAAATTTTGTCTTTTTTTCTTCCTAATCTGCAAACTTTTGATAGGTTTTTGTTTTCATGTTTTTAAAAATATTACTACATAACATATATATATTTCTATCTGATGATCCTTTTTTATACAACTTTGTGTTTCCTTCCTAGTGACTTTCACTCATGGTAATTTATTTGTTTTATGGCTTTTGATTTAAAAAAAAAAAGTTATAAGCTCATGTTCATCAGAATTGTATTTGTGGGAATTTTGAAGGCCTGTCATTACGATGTATTCTTTCAGAGACAATATGCATATGACATGAGTGTAAGACAGGGTTTTTTGGAAGCAGAGCCAAGTTAGGAATTCTTGTTTACATGATTTATTGAAAGAGTACTCTCAGGAGAATGAGAGCACACAAAACAAGCTAGAGCAGGAGATAAAAACTAAGCACAAATAGAGTCTCAGCTGGAGAATCACCCAATCTGCTCCTATGGGGAATCTCTGAGACATGAATTGCTCCACAGAGAGTCCCTCCTTGAGGCAAGATAGATGGCCTTGTCTACCCTTGTGTCTATTAGCTACTGGCTTATTCCCCATGGTAAGGAGTAGTCTCTCTAGGGAAGTGGCTCCTCTTTAGCAGAGGGTAAGTCTCTAAAGAAGGGGTAGCTGTGAACTGTGATCAGAGAACATTCACAGCACGTGGAGGATAGGTGCATGTTCCTAAAGGATTTTGATAGTGTACCAGAAGCAGTCTTTGCCCTCAGATCTATCTGTCTCTCACTGAAGGTCACTCCATCCAGGCAAAGCTTATTCAAGATTTTGGTTGGTCACAATTTCCAAGAAGACTTACTTGAAGAGGAATAGTGAGAGTTCCACTAATGCAATTGGTGCTCCTGGTCTCTACACCATACCCCCAACTATTCTAGATTTTACTCTCTTTTTGCTAACACTTCTACTCATCTAGGAACCTTTCCTAATGTTTTACTAAGAATTCTGAGCCCTGGGTTACCAATCTCTTGCTGCTTTACTTATGCATTGGTAGTTATAACTGGGCGTGGGAATTCCACAAGATACCCCAATGGATCATCAGAGTATCTGATATGTTGTGGATTCCTACAGTGTCTAGAACTTTAGAAATGGTCTTTCCTCATGGTCATCAGGGAACTTTATATTTACCCCATCAACATTGAACTCCTTTTCTCTCTCTCTCTCTCTGGTCTGTCAGTATAAGGAGCACAGACTGATAGATGATCGGGCAACAGCTGTAGCTCTGTGTTTACTGGGACTGTTACTGTTTCGACTGGTAAACTGATCCCCTTTCTGGAAACAAGTTCTCCTAGACCCAGAGCATAGTATATTGGTAATTTCAACTGGATATTTCTCTGGAAAAGTTGTTTGTTTACTTAATGATTTCTGAGTAACTACATTAAGGCCTGAGAACATAGCAGTACAGAAAAGAGACAAAAATCTTTGTCTTCATAGGATGTTTATTCTAGAAGTGGGAAAAAAGGTAATAAGAAAAATAAATAAAATGGGATGTTTTATGATATAAATTATCTGGAAAATATATAAAGGAAGAAACTGTATGGAAAGTATTCAGGAGGGAATATAATTTTAAATAGGCCTTTGGGTAAAATTGAAAGTTTCCAGTGGAGTCAGCCAGGGGAATATGCAGGGAAAGGATGCTCCAGGCAGAGCAGCAATAGGTATGAATGCTTCCGAGCACATCCAGAGACAATTAGAAATAGAAAGGAGGATGGTGTGCATAGAGAGAATATGTAAGGGAGAGAGTGGTAGATAGCTCATTACAGAACAGGTAAATGTAGAAGATGAAAGAAACCAAATAAATAAATACCTCTACCAAAATACAAGTACAATAATATCCTGCTGTCAAGAGCCACCAAATGGAGAATTGTATTACTCCATTTTCTGAACATGATGTAGGGACACTGGAAATCCACAACATTTGGATTTGAAAAAATGTGTATCTAAAATTTAGAAATTGTTGTCATCTTCTTAATGAAAGCTTCTGTGCTTTGAGAACTAACAGTCCCTCACATACAAACAAGTAAGTTTACTGCTCAAACTGCCACAGAAAGATGCTGCCCTGAATTCTTACAATTATATTGAGCTGGGCATTTTGGAGGGGATTAAGTCA